GTGGAGTCTGTTCATGCCCCTGTAGAAATCTCTCCAGGATAATCCGAGCCATTAATGAGGGTGCACAGTCCACCTTCATGAAACAGAAGTAGAAAATTAAAACTGCCAAGCTGTGCCAGTGGTTGATATTCCAATAGTTTGTCAACACTGAAGATTAAGTCAATTTTAATCAACCGTAACAAGCATCGTTCATTAAAATCTTTTCCACTGTTGGTGGCTTCCATTGTAAGAAACTGTTAAGTATGATCTGTGCTGTTGAAAAGAATAGATGGGTCAAGTTTATTGAATGTAACACTGGAAACAGCAATGAAAGGACAACTTGAAAATAATACTTACCTAAAATAGGCAAATAAGCTTTTCTGATCTCAAGTTTTGTTGGTAGGCCGATATTGTTTTCTAGTCTAGAACTCCTTTTCTATCCAACTACACTTAGATTATTTTGAGTACAATTTCAAATTTAAAAAAACTATTTACTTAATCATTTGTCAGAAACTGAGATTTGCCATAAGTTGTTTACATTAAAAAGAAGTTATAGGATAAAAGAAAAAAACCTACTTTGCAGAGATACTAAGAATAAAATATGATAATAACATCTGCAGTATAAGTTTCCACACTGAGTCTGGTCTGAAATACTGCTGATAAATTTATCAAATGCAGAGAGAGTGCAGAAAAGGAACATGCTTTTAAATACAGACTCAAACAGAAAACAAAGGACACTCAGCGCTACAGTCATTTTAGTGGATGATAATAAAAATAATAAAGCAACTACTCATTCGTAAAAAAATATTTTCTTTTTCAGATTGTTCATTAGCCATTGATTAATTTCACCACGAAATATGTTTTTTTTAAGAACAATGATGCCTTCCTAACAGGAGCTTTTTTTTTTTCGTCCTGAGTATAAAGTGGGAAATGTTTCTCATCTATTATCACAAAATTTTTTTCTAGGCAGATATTCAAGCCCCATGTTCAAACCAAAATTTTATCTTGATTTAGTAACTAGACAAAGAGGGTAGCTCCATTTGTATGAACTATTTTTTTTTCAAATATGTATGTACTTGGATGCCCTTAAATTCCCCGAGTAGAAAGAAATGCATTCCACGGAGCTGCTTATTCGTAGTAACCCACATCAGGGCTGACACATGAAAAATGGTGAAATTACTGAAGGTAGTCCAGCCTGCATAAGGACTACCTTATTAGTTCAGGTACCTGCATCTCTCTAATTTTCATATTAATCATGTGTCCATCTTCCTCTGAAATAGGGCCATCATGCTTCATGTCAGAATTTAGCATGTAAGTAAAATTCATAGTGCTTCAAATCTAACTTGAAAATATTTGTGTGGAGAGAACAGAATGACGGATCATATAATCACTAACAGAACAAGATTTACTAAAATGTTCATTTTCGGGCTTGATCAGGGAAAAAATGGTATTAAGACGTTTATGAAACCAAAGATGGCTACCTAGATCCCTTATCCTAACCAAATCAACAATAACAAGGTGCTTTTGTCTAAGAGGAGGGTTGCTGTACAATATAATGTACAAGTTATATATTTCTCATCAATTTTTACAGTTTCCACTGATTAAATATATATTGACTCATAAAATATTACCATCACATCAGTTGCCACCAGATATAAACATATGTCCTTTAAGTATTCACTAGCACATAAACATGGGAGCTTGGATGTTTAGAAGTTATAATCCAGTACCCACCATCTCCAAATTCCCCTAATGCATTAGTAATCGTACGAAAAGTGTTTCCTCTGCACTAACGAGGCACCAAAAATAAGGGAGAAAAAAAAAATCTCTAAATAACTACTTCTTTCGGGGAGCTAAATATTGCTCTATATTCATGGTAAATAGTAAATATTGATGCAGGGAAATATACGGTGATGGGTTTGCTTTTTCCATACAATTATAATATGGAAACTGAGATCAGTCCCATAAACTAAGCTCAACAGAACTATCTATTAAAATTTGAACGAGCAGCTGTAGAGTTGGCTTAGTGATTAAGAACACTGGCTACTCTTCCACAGGACCTGGGTTCGATTCCCAGAAGGCATGTAGTGGCTCACAACCATCTGCACCCCCCTTTCCAGGGAAATCTGATACCCATCTCTGGCCTTCATGGATTTTAGATACAAACAAGGTACAGAGATATACAAACAGGCAAAAAAGGACCCCCACACATAAAAATAACAATGATTTTTAACTGAATTGAAACGAACATAAAGTGATACTTTAGAAAACCTCCATCATCAGCGTGTGTATGTATGAATACAAACTCCACACTTTTTTCCCAGATGCACCTACCAACCTACAATACTACAAGCTACCTCCTCTCTTTCGTAAGGGATAATCTCTAAAATTCTACTTCATGCTGAGGTACCTCAAGTCACTAAGGGTATCAACTTAGAACAGCAACAGCAACGGTAAAATGTTAAAGCTATGGTCACCTTTAACATCCAAGCTGCTTGAGAAACAACAAAGTAAAATACATGTTTTGCTAGGAGGAGAAGACAAACTCATTCTGTGTGTTAACTATCCTATCAGACTGTGAGGACTCTTCCAGGGCTATCAAAACTGTCTAGTAACTGATGGGCAATTGCTCTTCTGCTGACTACAGCAGTGTGCAGCAGACATGAGCTGCAAGAGAGGCTATCCTTCCTTCCTAATGCAGCTCGTACAACTTGCTGCTCCTACAACGCTTAATGTTCATGGCACAGAGTCATCTTTAATGCAAACACACATTTTCTGCCTTGCCTCTCTGTTTTCCATTATAACACAACACAGAAACAGTGTGCATTTCATGCTGTCCCTATGAGGTTTGCATAAGCCATTCCAACTCAGACTCAATATTGTATTGCTCTCATTACAGTGGATAAATATTTTAGAGTTTAGGAATTAAATATTTTATTTTTTGGTAGGCTCTCTGCAACTATTGTGAACTTTCTGCAGTTTCTTCATTCACAGGAAATCTTCAGGGTTTCCTTTTGAAAATGTTAGGCTGTTAGCTGTTTCCCCACACAGGAGCAGATCAGAGTTAACAAATAAGTTCCATAAATCACTTTATACTTGGTGTTAATAAGAATATTATGTTTCTTTATGGGAAGGCGTTTTTCCATAGGCTTGTATCCTTTATTATAATAAAAGTTTACAAACAGAAAAATGAATCAAGTAAATGATACATTGTCAAATATAAAATTTCTCACTTCGTTTTTATAATAGTTCGCGTAGGTTTTCTTGGCACGCATCTCTTCACTTGACATAGGTATTTCTCATGCTAAATTAAGGCAACAAACCCTAAGAGCATGTTCGGAGCTGTTTGGTTGAAATTTTCCACCAAACAAGAAGCAAAGAAGCTGTTTGTACATTTGCCTTAAAAGAAGTAGACTAATTATGTCAACTGATTTATTAATTCATGAAGTTCTTTGTCCAATTATTAAAAGTACAAAGGGACCAGGGAGCAATTTAAATGTCTAACACACCTCAAAATCTCTTATTTATTTATTTATTTATTTATTTATTTATTTATTTATTTATTTTTTAGTTAATTACAATTCTGAGTAACACTACTCTAGATAGGCCCCTTAGGTTTAGCTCAGGTTTAAATAAAATCATAACAATAACATTACCTCATTGGCCAGCTCCAGGAGCACAGGGGCCGCTCCATTCTTCCCCACGCCATTCAGGTACCTAGACAGACAAAGGCAAGTGGTCATGCAGTAACAAGAGAAGGCCAGCACAGACTTGTTGGTATCCCTTGTGTATACATGTTTCTCCTGGGCAACTGCCAAGCTCAAGTCCTGTTAAAGTGTGCTACCATCACAGGGAAGAAGTGAAGAGAAACGACAGCACGCAACGTACCTCAAACCAACACACTAATGGTGAGGCAGGAGGCGTAGTCATACCAGTCTCCATTGTGTCTTAAACTTTGACAAGTGAATAGAAGTGATTTCTAACTCACATCCATAGCACTCTAAGCCACACAGAGCCATCACATGGCAAAGAGGCAAACTGACTTTCACAGTTTAAACAAAGCATGAAGATATGTGGGGACCTGTGCCACTGAGTCCCTCCACCACTGACAGGCAATAGGAGCCATCGTCTCATTTGCCCTACATTCATGTCATAATTCCCAGCCTGCACCATGAAACTGTACTTCAACCAGCAAACAAGCACAAATCCCTAGGTTCTCCCAGACATGGAACATGGGGAAGTTGGTTTTAATCAGATTTTGAATGTGCATCCACCACCTCTAAAAACTGTGAAAACCAATATCCAATCCCAAGCCTGAACAGGAACCATCTACCAGGTGCTTAGAGTTTCTTTAGAATCTGGATCTTTTTGCTGTTGTTCTACTAGTGGTTGGACCTAGGGATTCACATGCTAGGCAACGGCTCTACCAAACACCACTACCCCTAGCACTTATTTTCCTTTTTTAATATGAAACATGGTTTCAGAGTTGGCAGGCTGGCCTTGAAGTCACTACGTGGCCAGGCTGGCCTTGAACCTGAGCTTCTCCTGCCTTAGCCTCCTGTGTAGATGGGATTACAGGCCTGAGGCAGTAAGGCTGGCCATAACCTAGTTTCTCTCAACTGTACCTGGCCAGCATCATCCCCAGCACCGTTTGTGACATTTAACCTTCGCCTGTGTCAACTTCAGATGCAGATCCAATACATGTTCTTCAGTCCACCATCCATGACTAAGTTAGCTATCTTCATATGCTAATGGGAAGCAGCCTATAAGCTGTGTCACAGAACATGGAATAAGGTGTGGCTGAGCTACAGAAGTCCCCTATCTATGAGACAGGTCCCAACATACTCAGTGAATGACCAAACTGATAAGAGCTTTGAATTCTACCTATATGATGCTTTCCAATGTGCATATATGCTCAACATAAAGTTTAGCTAATAATTCAGAGGAAGAGATGTGTAACAGAACATCACGCTATTTACTAAAAGTTACATAAATATGGTTCTGTCTCTTAATGCTTTATTCAACTTTCTTGTAATACCTATGTGAGATAACATAAGGCCTATATCACAAGAGGAAGTGAGATGACGATGGTGTGACCCAGCTTTAGGCTACTGCTGTTCTGATGATAGGTCAGCAGAAGGATCACAGAGCAGATGGCCATCGGTTAACTAAGCCATGGAGAGTCAAGCACTGGAAAGAGGAGGACTAATTTTCTTGTGTGTCTCAGTCATCTGTGAGTGTATTGCTGACAGGCTTGTAAGGGTCAGGGAACCAGATTTCATTCATTCTACTACACCTATCACAATTCTTGGCCTATAACAGAAGAGTATTAGTATATACGCACACATACTTTTTTGATTAATCAAATAATGTTTAAAGCCACGTTAGACAACCTAGCAAAATCATGTAAGGATATTTTCTCCAAAATGTCTTATTTGACTGAATAAATTAAAGTTCTTTGTTGATATTTAAAAAATGAGGTCAGTAAATGAGTTCTGCCAATAACTGCCAGCAGCAGACACTGCAACAGAACAACATAAGCAAGGCAGAGTCGACACAAATTATAGAGAGAGCAGTGAGATTGTTACGCTTTCAACATAACTCAAAACAATCTACCTTTCCATATACTGGGACCCTTCTTGACTGCCACTGTGTTACATACGAAACCAATGAGGGAATAGGGACTTCAGAAGTATGAATGGGAGAAAAGGAAGTATGGGTTTGAAAACTGGTCCAGAAGCAAAAAGGGGAAAATGAAACCAACTCTCCCCCCACTCCAAAAAGAAATAAAGGAATCCAAAACATGGCAACTGTGGTTGAAAGAACACAGCCGCTGGGAAATGGGAGGCTGAGAACCTCAGCCATGCCCATGCGTCCAGTAGTTACAGCATACCATTATCAGGGCAATTTCAGATTTTGAAATTTAACATTCATGTAGACTTCAAATACTTTTGAGAGCTCTGGATTAGGCCTTAATCTGGGCTCTGAAAAAGCAACAGGGAATAAAATATCCCTGTTTCTCTCATCACAAAGATATGACAGTCTTCAGATAACAACAACAAAAAAAAAATAATAATAAAATAAAATAAAAAAATAAAAAGACGAATACAAGATACATGCTATGATAACATTTAAAATTAGGTGAGTTGGTCAGGAAGCCTACCTCTAAGAAAATGTCTCTTGAATCTTGCTTAAAGTGGAAGAAGCAGAAAGGCCAGGCATGTGTTTGGGGGGTAAACTACTTATACTAGGGAAGTGATGTTTTGAGTCAAGTTGCATGGTTTCATAGAAAAAGATGCATCCATCACTATACTGGTGATACACAATGGAAACTTCTACCAAGTTTAAAGAAACGGAAGATGGTCAAATAATAATCCCAAGGTACACGGTTTGCATGCATTCCGTCAGTACAAATTCCTAGTGCTCTGAGTAAAAAGGCTCCTTGCTAGCTCATGTAAGGAAACCAACCCCAAGGCACTGATGGAATCTGCCCAGGCCAGCACAGTGACGCACATCTAAAGCCACAGAGCTGGAGGGAGAAGGAGTACTGCAACCCTTTGGTCAGCCAGTGTAGCTGGATCATTCAGCTCCAGAGTCACTCAGAGACAATATCTCAAATGAATGAATGAATAGGTGAAGCAGCATGTGGGAAGACAACTGACATCAACTTCTGGCCTCCATACTCACGTACACCCACACACATATACATGTACATATTGACATGAACATATATGTACATCCCACACACAGGAAAGACCCTTAAGTGAAAACCTATTTTATAATGTCTGATTGGAAGATCTATGATCATGACATTATAGACTTATCTTTAAACAAAACAGTTGAGTTAGAGACACAGATCTGTAGTAGAGCCATTCCCCAGCATCCATAAGACCCTGGCTCAATCCCCAGTATAAAACACACAAAAAGCCCTTGCTCTGCCACTATTTTCTTTCCTTTTGGAACGTTCCCCCTTTCCAACAAGCCAGCAAAGGCCACTCGTGTTTGTAAATGTGTCTGTTTACCATTATTCCGGACACTCCATATGGATAATTGACAAAGCTGTGTTGCACTCTATAAACACAGCTATGTTGACACTTTTCTTACTGAAATTCACATTTAGGAACACAGCTATCTTCCACTCACTAGAATAGTGAAAGGTAGGTGTTATGTCTTTTTCACATGTGCAGGAGCAGTTACCATCAGAACAGAAATGTTCAGTAAATGGACATTTCAGCTTTTTGTTGCCATGGTAAGAAAACCAACCCGAGGAAGGGAAAGATCTTTTTTTGCTCATGGTTTTAGGGCAGGGCTGTCCAGCTCCATTGCTCTCAGGTCTGAGATGAAGAAAATCATGGCAGAGGGCCATGGTGGAAGAAAGCAGCTACTTACCTTATGTCAGCCAGGAAACAGACAGGAAGGGGCCAAGGTAAGATATAGGCTCCAAAGACACACCCCCAGTAACCTACTGAAAGGTGTGACCCACACACATGGCAGGTCTTCCCTCTTTAGCTATTCCTATCCCAAACTGCTCTTGTTTTATTTAAACTGAGAAGAATGTTTTCCTCTTCCCAGGCATTTGTCAATCCAATCAAGCTGACTCTCAGGATTAGCATCACAGTGGAATCAATGTTCAGAAACCAGTTTTATCATGTTCTGTCAATATCAGGCCTCAACAATTCTTTTCTCCATGTCAACATCTTAGAAAATTCAATTGATCTGATTCTATATAGCTACGAAAGCTGTTTCCTGAGTCAGTGTGGTTAGAAGGGATGGGAGATAGGATTTCCAAAGTTGCTTCACATGTGAACTTACAGATGTGGCCATCTGTGGCTGCCAATACTCACTGTCAGCCTGAGTGGCTTTGGAATCACCCAGGGCTGAGTGTATGAGGGTGCTGAGGGTGCTTCCAGTGGGGAACAAAGGAGGAAAGGCCCATCAGGAAGGGAGGCAATAAAAGGAGGAAGTCAGCTGAGTACCAGCATTCCTTGTTCTCTGCCCATAAGTGAAGAGTGTCCGCAACACTCCTCTGCTGCCATGAACTCTGCCATGCAGAATACATTCACAAACCATAGAGCAAAGCAAATCCTTCCTTCCTTAGCTAATACATGTCAGAAACTTTGACCCAGCAATGGAAAAACCAACCATGTGTATACACAAAAGCCTATGTGTAAATGCAAAACAATCAAGATAAATTTCACCAAGGATACTCCTGTATGGAAATAAAACAGCACAGTTAGAAAGAATAGAGAACTGTTTTCAAACGAATACAGTAACTATCCAACTGAGAAGACCCCACCCCCAATGCATAAGCCCAGGAACACACTTTTTGCGGTTATCCTGATCCTATGAAATTTTAATGAATCATGGTGCTCTCACGGTTACTACTGACTTCGAATTCCTAACTGACATAATCTCAACGCTAGCTGGAATGTGGATTCAGAGGTACTCTGACTGCTGGCAGGAACATAACCAAGACATTTCTAGACAGTAATTTAGCAACATATAATCAATTTCTAAATGTTCACACTGTTTGCACCAGTAATTACATACACAGAAATCAACCAGTGCCGATGAGTCAAGCATCAAGACGTTTGCCACAGTATTATTTACAATATCAGAACACTGGGGACATATTTGGGCCTCAGGAGAATAACTTGGGAAGTTCAGTCTTTTACATGCTGAAGAAAGCCAACTAATAAAAGAAAAGGCTTTTTACAAAACAATATTATATCACATGCATTTTTCCACACTAAAACGAGGACTCATAGTTGTACATGTAATATGATCTCGTCTATGTAAAAATGGGTTGTCAGAAGGCTGGGATGAAATTTTAACCAGTAGTTATCTCTGAGTGGCACAATTATGGGCAATCGCTCATTCCTTTCTATGCCATCAGAAAGGTGCTTAATTTTCACAGCGGGCGGCATTACTTTCATAAAGAAAAAAATTAAATAAGTTGTTATTAACATTTTCCCATTGCTTAAATAAGTGTGGCTAAAACACAAGTTGCCTTTATTCTAACCACCTAAAAAACAAACAAGAACCTTTCAAAGCCAATTTACCTTAGCAAAACCCAGGACATTTGACCTGCACATCCCAATAATAGGCTGGTGAGGTAGGTCTGCCTAGAAGATGACAGCGTGGCTAACTCCCACAGGCGGAGTAAACCGCCCCTGAATCAAGACGCTGGGGGACACCTTTCCTCTGAGTCTCTATGAGAACCCCCATTCTTGTTTTGTCTCGAATGTTTTCATGCCTCACCATAACTGAGACTCTATCTAAAAAATGCAAAGGAACAAATACATTTCTACATCCTCTCCACTACCCACTCTACTTACGGTTCCTGTTCACTATGCAGTAACTACGCCTACTTAAATTTTTTATTTTGAAGTAAAACTCTCCAGATAACAGAGAAGAGTTCACATATCATAAACGTGTAATGATGTACACATTTCTTTTTATTTCGATGACGGAATCTGTGGCCTTGCATCAGCTAAGCAAGTACTTACACCAGACTGTAACCCAAATGTTCTTTCTGTTTTTATATCAGCATCCCCAAAGCTGGCACTACAAGCTTGTGCCACCAGGCTTTGCATATACATACACACATACAAACATACAACATATACTTATATATGTATAGTATATATACACATATACATATATATATATATTAATTAAGCTTTTAGGAGTAGATGGTTTTGAAATGACTTCATTAGAGGTCTTTTTCAGTGAGGCAAATGGGAGCGAGAGTAGCCCCGTCACTCTCCAACACTGCTCTCCTCTCCCATCATACAGGGCTTAACAACTCAACGTGGCCCTGATTCCATCTGACAGCATAGAACTATAAAGTTCACAAACAAAAATGTATTTCTTTTATACAGATGTGGTGGTACAGGTCTCCAAGCACAGGCTGAATCAGGTGAACTGCCAAATCAGGGACCAACTTGGGCTGTATAATGACACCCTGTCTTAAAACAAACAAGTACCTCTTGGCATGCAGATAAATAAATAAATAAATAAATAAATAAATAAATAAATAAATAAATAAATAAATA